ATGTCCTTATGATATAAATAAAGTGCAAATTCAGTTTCACTCGTTCTAAAAGTGTGCTATGCATAATTCTCATTATGTGCTAAAAAAATTATGGTATACATACATCATTTCAATGAGCACTTTTTGTAACAAAAATAGATACATGCAAATAATTTACTATGGAAATCCATTTAACTGAATTGTGTTGAATAACATAAACAATTAATCAAGAACGATTTGTTAGTTCCCAATGTGATTTGATAACTGTTATATCTTGAACTTAGATTCTTAGTATGTCATGTAATACTTGGGCACTAGAACGCTAGTACCCTCTCAAGTCGCAAAATCAGAAGACAGAAGACAAGTAGAAGGAATGTTATTTCAAACAGTATCAATTATGGTACAAGACTGTCAGGCATTTATAGTTTTTAGTAGAAACGGAATAATCGTTATAGTTATCCAATCCGCACACAGGGAGTTATCAGCATTGTCCAATAGGGAATTAACACAAAGTGATTCTAGAATATTCTTCCAAAAGCTGATTGGATGGAATATGTTCGGCTCCTTCTAGGCTTCTTAGAGATTCCTCAACTTCACCCGTGGACCATCCTCACAATAACTATTTTCCAGAAGAATATTTGTTAGCCATATTGTATATTTGATGAGTATTCACCAATCATCTCATTCTTTTTATGGGAACATGTAACCCTTTTGTGTTTTCTTCTGGTTAGACTTTGGCTACAATTTACTTACTAGTGAATATCAGTATGAGATATAAAGTGAGGGGCTTGTCTAAAATTATTCCAGAAATCTGATATTAAATAAGATGCACTATTATCTCCTGCGAATTGTTTTAATGACCATATCATTAATATAAGATAGCTTCGGTTACAGAGCGTTTTGTATGTTCTCATACTGTAATAAAATCAAGATTTATTGCTTTTGTAATGTGCGATACTCATAAAGATGTTTCCGAATAGTATGTATCTGAACATGGCGTCGAAGTTGAAACAATTGTCAGTCAAGATTATGAGTTTCAATACATCAGAAGCATGGCTTTGTAAGAACACTTGGAAACCAGTCAAGAAGATAGATCAGAATGCAGAACACATCAAAAGATTCAAATGAATGATTGTAGGCTCTGTATATTTATTATTTAGGTACTTTGTTACGTCTCCCAATAAATTTACATACCTTCCACCCATTATCATGTTTTACAGTTTCTAGTTTTCATTGATTTTCTAACCAAGTCCACCGATAAGGTAAAACTACTTAACAATTTTGGTGTCGATAGCCCACAACATGATACTAAATTTTACTTAAGTATTGATAAAGCTATTCATTAGGAGTTATGCACCAAATAATATTCATTTTTTTCAGCTATAACAATTATAAATTCACTTGGTATTGTTTGTTTGAATCTTCCCATCAATGTTTAGGACTGCAATTGATCAGTCCCTTATTGGCATATGTGTATACAGTGCGTATTGTCTCGACATAGCCTTAATTCACAGCCATTTTAAGCAATGATGGATAGCGGCTAGCAGTGTGTTATATCCCCTGGTGAATTATGAATGGTAAATCTGAGGTCTATTATCGACCAACGTATTATGCCTATTTCTTATTGTGCAATTGTTACGTAACTGGACTATTCACATTCGTGTTTCCCTTATCACTAGCTTTATTTTGACCTTGACTTATTATCATACGATTCTTGAGTTAGAATCAGTTTATTAATTACTTTGGTTTGTATAAAAACCCAGTGTGTTTGTAAATAATGATTCATATTGCCGAGGCTGTTATTTGTGTTCTGGACTTAACTGGCTGGGCAAGGCAGAAAGCAGGGCCGATACGCACTCAAGACCGCTCGTACGATTTTATGTATCATTGCGCCGATCAGTAAAATCCACTACCTCTCTAATTGCACGTTCATATATATTACGAGTCCATACGTTATAACACAGTGGAATCCAGAACTCGCGTTTCGTCCTGTTTGGGACTCGTCAGCTGAATGTATCTGCATCGCAGAGTTGATGTTCACTCTGGGACTCAAACCCAGTACCTTTCGCTGCAAACCTCAACGCGTTATCCACTCACTTACTGAGTCCTGGATTCACCTGGATTCCACTGCTGGCTACTACCCATCTTTGCTTATAATGCTTATAACAATTATGCTTTAACTGACTAACGTCAAACTACATGTGAATATGAATGAAAACAGGAGGTTTTCATTGATTATATAAGTTCTGAATCATTGACTGACGTTATTGCATTGTTGTTTATGAATATTTTTTCATCAGTAGTATTGTTTTGTGAATGATAATATTCATAACATGATTGAAAGGTATTCGGCTGTATAAGTTTACATCTAACTATTCATGATATATCGTATTTCTATGTTTTGTTCCTTTTCTCGATTAGAAATGATTGGTTAAAAGGATATTTTACATAATTAGGATGATTCAACATTTTTGTAGGTGGTTTGGAAAACAGATAAATTCTAGTCAGAGAAGATTAGAAACGACTAGCACAATTAATCTACAAACAGCTTATGTATTGTTTTATATGGTTGGTAAGTGGCAGTTAATAAGGCTTGTTGAAACCCTAATCAAGCAGAATGAATGAAGGTCTTCCCTCACACTTTAATACCAAGGATAGAAAGATTGATGTTATGTGTTGTTATTCTTAATCATACACTTCCATTTGCCTTATGTGACATGATTATTATTACTAATGGTTTTATTCAATATTATATTTTTGATACCATATAGAATTCTCAGCACAAAGTACTTCAGCAAGTTCCTTTTTCTTATTTATTAATTGATCCTGACGAGAAATATTGAGTGATAATCGGTTAGGTGTTAGCAATTCAGAAATTGACATCTGAATAATGTTCATTCTTTTCAATGGAATTTGCCAGCCACCTTCGATGTCTCTAATTGTAATTTTTTTGTAACCTACACAACGAAAGGTCGTAAACTTTTCATAAACACGCCTGAATAAGTTATGCGCTTAACAGACATAATGATGTGTTAATGTAAAAAAAAGGCAGGTAACTTGTTGAAATATACAGATGGTAAGAACATGTGGCCCATATATTCAATCAGGCCACCGTGAATCTGTAATCGTTTGTTCAAAATGCATTATACTAATGGTGTAATACTTTTGAAAATTTGTATCGTAATTATTTCTATTCCAATATTACTTTTTAAGATAATTTTATTGACTTAAAAATTTCGTGATTAAGTCACTTCCTTAATACCACTATTTATAAGTAGACAGTTTGTATAGCCTTTTTACATTGTCATAGAAAACGGCTATCTTTATAAATCCCCATATCTTATATTTGCAATTTGCTTAGTATTTTTTTCTTCTTTAGATTACATATTATTAATTGATCACTAAAACTTCGTCTGTAGCTTTTCCGGGGGCTACTGCCGGTCCCAAGCCCGGATAAAGGAGCAGGGTCGGGCATGGGGTTAGGGACCCCAACCCGTAGAAAACCAACTCGCTGAAAACACGCTAACCAGAAAAAAATTAATCGATCACCAAATAATGACCAGTGATATGTTTATCTTGTTCTTCATGACTAGTGATTCAATTCAGTCGATCTGATTACAAAATATGGTCAATTGTCTGAATAATTCGATAAACTCCTATCCATACTGAATTATCACTTGTGAAATATTCTACTCATACTTATAATTTTCATTCGAGTGTATTATTATGTTCATTCAATTCATCTTCATGTTGATCTCTAAAGCTTCCAAAAATTCCTATATTATTATGGTGATTATATTTGTTCTAGTATGAATTGTGATAAATAATTTCCATGTATTATGTCTTTGTATGATAAGCTTAAAACTGTTTTATACAATCATACAATCGTAGAACTATCAAAAAAGAAAAATTTATTTTTTGAGGAATTTTCGGGTAAATTTTTTTTCATATTTTGTCCATGTAACGTTTGAAAATTTCCCATATTGTGATTTAGAACAACATGTATATAAGCGAACAATATTGTTTTCGATTAGATCCTCATCAGGCTTTACTCTAATATAGAGGTCATAAAGTTGACTAAAATCAGTCATTTGAAGTTATTTATCGTATTCCTACATAAGCTTCCTTATGGGGTTCGATCTCATCTCTTACACATAGCAAAAGCTATAGGAATTCGATTCAACAGTCCAAGTCTTTGTGTTCATAAGAAATTTGTAACACCCTTGACCTTAATAAATAATTTTATTTTCCATACTCTTTCTTCGTTTATTTTTCTTCACCCCCTTATCAATTATTTACTTATAATATTTTTTATATTCGCTTCACGGTTCAATTACCTAAACACTTCTTATTACGTAATCTTATAATTTCTATGACTGTTATTTCAGTGTCTATATTTTTCTAATCATTGACTTATTTTCCTGTTATGTAACATTGATTCAAGCCTTTTATTATTCTTATCACAACTAGTACACCTGTCATTACACTATCAATTTGTACTTTTCACTTATAATCATTTTTAGTTATTTTCACAGTTGAAATCATGAGTCAATTGAAGCTAGACCACCATGGAAAACCTCAAAGCACTGAATGGCCGTTTCGCCCTATTATGGGACTCCTCAGCAGTGCGCATTCACGATCCCACCTTGCGAGCGAGATTCGAACCCAGGACCTACCAGTCTCGAGTCGAAGCCCTTAACCGATAGACCACTGAACCGGCATCCAACGGTGTTAATTTCTAACTTCAACCAATCCACGATTTGGAGCGACCGTTCACCAATTGTCTTCAGTAAGCTGATATCTCTACAACAGACTTGGTAGAACTCCACTGGCTAGTTATGTAATCTATTTCACTTATATCACTGACTCATAAACTGCCTTAATTGATTTAATAATTTCGTACATGTAACGTCTCGCTCATAGATACATAATCGATTTTAAATTAAAATGACCATTACATTTTATGAAATATAGAATCCATAGTGAACATTGAACATAATATTTTATTATAATTATTCTATTGTACACATAACTCAATTCAAAATAATATGAAGGAATATAACCATGACAACAGTAAACAAAGAAATTGAATTTTCATTAGATAATTAACCGCTTTCATTCAATTTCATTAATAAGCCGTTTTAAATAATAGAATCTCCAAACTTTTTGAATAAAAATAGATGAGATTATTATCCAAATGAGTAATTGAGCTATATAAAGAGAAAGATTTTGGGAATAAATGAAACAGTTAATGAAAAAAAACATGCACAGTATGAAATAAATTCTATATCTAAATAATATTATTCAACAGATAATTCCTGGAGTTCTAGTGAGAATCAGTGACCAGTGGAGCTCAAACCACGTATGTTGTGAGATAGGAACTCACTGAAGACAATTGGTGAACGGTTGCTCAACTTCGTGGATTGGTTGAAGTTAGACATTAACATCGTTGGATGCCAGCTCAGCAGTCTATCGGTTAAGTGCTCTGGCGAGAGACTGATTGTTCCTGATTTAGAATCTCGCGAGGTGAGATCATGGATGCGCACTGCTGAGGAGTCCCACAATAGAACGAAACGGCCGTCCAGTGCTTCCAGGTTTTCCATGGTGGTCTAGCTTCAATTGACTCATGATTTCAACTATGGAAATACTGAACTCTCCACACAAACCCCTTCTGATTATTATTTTATAAATATGACAATATTACATCCCATCAAACATATAGATTCTAGTTAAGAAAGTATTGATAGATGAAGGCAACAAGATGATAACCTGAGAAGACAAATATTGACAAGCAAACTAATGAGAACAAGATGGTTCAACGCTTGAAGAACAATTGTGACAACATCTTATCTTACTTGAAGTTATCAGCTTATGATTTTGTCCAGCGCATTAATGAAGTCTAACCTACTTAACAATCTAGATCAGAGATTATAGCATCACAGAAAGTATCCAATTGAATTAAAAGTTCTTATTGCTTTAGTTAAAAGCATTCAGATATGATGGTATCAGCTTCAGCTAACTTGATCCACTATTCTATAACACAACACAAACTATTATTAGGAAAAATTTTGCGTTTCAGATGGTTGAAATGAAGAACTATTTAAGTCGATCGAAATATAGGAGGGTTGGCGTCATGTATATTTCGATAACAATCAGCAAACAATTTAACTGAATTCAAATGTAAGGGCCACCAAAAAGCCATCAATTAGCTGTACCCTGTCATTACTTATGGTTTAACTATCTTCCTTCTATTTGTTCATTATAAAGTCTCTAAATCATCTACAAATCATAAAATCTTCCTGCATGACACATCGGTACAATCAGAGATTCAGAAGGCGAAAATGTATCATACAGAAATATACACACTGAAATTAATCTACGAGTTATCGCGACAAAGTTAATGAAATCAGACATTTTCAAGAAATAAGCTCCACAAACCATATCAATAAATGGAACGTCTGAAGATTCATCATTGTATTTTATTCTTAAATGTAATTGTGATACTTTCACATTCAAGGAATCATTAATATTTTGTTTTGAGCATTAGTTTAACATGGTTTCATATATTGAATCTACCATGCAGTGATTTATTCAACTACATGTAGTTCTGTAAAAATAAATTACCTCAGCAAATATTTTGTAACACTTCGGTGGATATTGGTAGGTATTTAATAAAGTCACCAAATCATTGAAAATGGTTTCACTATACAAATGATGACGGATATAATTAGCGTAACAGACTTGTGGAGATTATTCAGTTTGTAGTCAATATTATTTGTTTATTTATTTGAAAACATAAATATTAGTACAAGGGGGCACCAAATATATAGGCGCCACATAAAAAATTGTCATTTCATTTGATTGTGTGAGGGAAACGATACTACCCGGGTACCCAGACCGAAGCAAAAGGTTTTCTTAGGGGTCACAAGCATAGCCTTTGACCAAAAGATCTAATCCACAAGACAGTGGAGCATCGTGAGAAGATGCAGTCCCATGGTAGCCGGCGATCAACGATTGATTCATACGCCATATGTTCCTTCAGAATCCTGGAGCCCATATGCACCATGGGTTTGGAATCAGGGTTTCCCAAATAACTTAAGTGGATTTTCTGTGTCCACCAACCCGGTTAAAGCGCCGAGTATTCGCTTTTTGTCCTCTCAGCTTCCTAAGCAACACCCCTGCCACGAGAAAGCAGTGAGTAGGAGTTCCCTGGTAGAGGCTGTATACGTGTGACCGTGTAAGAGCATTTTGAGAGAGAGAGAGAGAGAGCGGACTCTTACCACTCTCGACCTTACCAGGTCATTTGGGCTAAATATCCATTAAAATTACCAATAAGTGTCAGGAAATTATTTTATTCTAGTGGTAGAATCCCTATAATTAAGCAACTATGGCCTCAACATGAAATAGAATCAAGACCATCGATTCTCGTGGAGAGTTTGAATCCAGTGACCTACATTTATAATGTCAATTCATCAGCAATCAGTGATATATGTAATATGCTATATAGAAATTCATTGTACATAGAAAATTTACATCTACCAATATAGTTATTTACTGAACTCTCCAGAGACTATACAACCTAAGATATCGTATGACATGTTGAAAGGTTTCAATAAATTTCACTTCAACTAGTTCATGTTAGAAAATAATATGGTTCATTAATACCTTACTTATTTAAATGATCGAATTACTAATTAATTCACAAATGATCTTCGTTTTGTATAAAAAATCAGTTCAAACAATAAAAGTTATCCACATGTGGTGTGAGTTACTTATATCCACATAGGTAGTATATGACAATGGTCAGGTGTAGGATGTATATAAATTGATGTAAACCTTTGAAAATAATTTACGAAAATGATCATGAATCGATATAATCCTATTAAAATAAGTATAACTACTTTATTAAGTAGTATATTCATGCCAGTCTTGTTCATGTATAATAGTTAAACATGTGATAATACTAAAATTAATGATAAACAAATATGATTTACTATCCATAGACCATATTTATCTCATTTAGGGTACTCAAGGGAATCAAGAAACATAAGAAAACTGTTACATCTTAGTATGAAACTGGTTAGCAGATCGAACATACATTAAGGAAATCACCAATGTGCATCACGAGGCAATCCCTAACTCGGAATCCGTAAGGGAAGCTCAAAAGAGGAAGGCCAAAGAACACATTACGCTGAGAGTTAGCCAGCTACAACGTAGGACCAGGCACATTTACGCATCGGTCCAAGTTGCCATACCTACATTAGCACAACAAGATGGACACCGGATTCATAGAAATAGTTAATTTAGTGGTGTTAGTGATACGGGATCGAATCCTCCAGGGAGCATCAATTCCCTCAAGATTACAGGTACACCTTGCTGACGAGTGCCAAGTAGTACGAAACCCGGGTCCAGGGTTTCCTGTTGACCACCTCCAACCACCATCTTACCTCAATGCTGGTGAGCGGCCTAACAGGCGTAACTAAGTAAGTAAGTAAGTATGAAACTATTCAACAGTGAACCTCCTTAGTTTCCAATGATACCATAAATGAATATAACTTATTAGTTAAAACTAATTTCATGTACTAACCTTTCAAAATCACGTCCAATTACACATTGCCAATTACGTCCATAAATATGATCAAATTTTTGTTTTAAATAATCAGCCATATCTTTAAATGTTGTATAAGTTGAATAAGCTTCAGTAAACCAATTAATAGCATTATTCTCCATATCTTTTGGCATATATGCCATAATTATTTTTGTTTGATCGTCTGGCATGGATAATTTCCTTTTGTAAACTTCTAGTTAACTATGTACATGTATACATGCATATATATATATATATATATAGCAGTTTATGTATAGTAAATATAGTTAACCCTACCTTATTATTACTGATAGAAAGAGAATTAGATTTACATGAGAATCATAATTTTCTCAGATATAAGTTTTCTCATTTGTTTTTCTTTTTTTAATATTTTTCTCGGGACAATGGTCACGTGAGTACTATTAACCAGAAAAAGCTGTAAAACATGAACTTAAAATTTATTTTTCTCTTTCTCTTTTCTTTTTCTTTTGTGTTTAAACAATAAATTTTGTAATATGTATTACATTCTTAGAATATTAGTTAAATTTTTTTCCTGGTTAGCTGTTTTTTCTACGGGATGAAGTCGCTAACCGCATGCCCAACTCTCCTCCTTTATCCGGGCTTAGGACCGGCAGTAGCCCTTGGAGAAGCTATAGGAGGCGTTTCTAGTTATGTTGTACCTTCTGTTATATTGTAAGCAAAGATGGATAGTGGCTAGCACTGTAATTCAGGACGCGCGTTTCATCCTATTTGAGACTCGTCAGCTGGATGTACCTGCATCTCAAAGTTTATGTTCCCTCTGAGACTCGAACCCAGTAGCGTTCGCTTCAAACGACATCGCGTTATCCACCTAGCTACTGAGTCGTGATAGCCACTTGATTGTGTAATGGGGTGAAGTTTAAATTTACTTGGTATTGTTTGTTTGACTGACCAGTTGCAGTGCTAAACATCATTGGGAAGATTCAAACAAACAATACTAAGTGAGTTTAAACTTCTGTTATATTTCTATTTAGGAAGGTATTAGCAGTATTCACTATGATGTTAAATAAAGTAAATACAATTATATTTGGACATGCTAATAGTAAACTATTTTCATTAATCATAAAATAAAGTCAGGTAATATACTCAGCTACATTAATTTCAACATGTCCATATGAAATCCCTAAAGTGTATTTAAAATGTATATAACAATACATTATGGTAGATATATTGGTCAATAATCCTTCGTTGAACTGAACTATTACCGAATGATAGTAACATCTAAATTGTACATAGTAGTAGAATCCCATGAGAACGAATGAACTTGATATTAAGGAACTCTGGATAATGAAGTGAAACACAATGAAATATGCCATGATATTTTAATGATACATCTAAAAGGTCTGTATGTGTCATTATACTTAAATTTATTGTTTTTTAGTGTTAAATCTAGAGCCTTGATTCTTAATATGCCGCGAACTACTTGACTACTTGAACGATAGAACACGCAAACGTCGCAAAAGAGAGAAGACAAAGACTGGTAAGCAGGAAGTTTATTGCCCCAAACAGTGTCAAAATATAGCACAGAAATCTCGTGTATTTATAGTTTTTGGCTGAAAGTAAATTATCATTTAGGTGAACCAATAAGCACATAGGTATCAAACTAATCCATCCAATGGAGAAGCTCCACGTTGGCATTTCTAGAACATTCCCCTAGCCGTGATTGGATGGAATGTCTGCGGCTCTTCCTGGGCTTCTTAGGGCTTCCGAGAGTCTACCGACGGGCCGTCCTTACAATTAGTATGAGTTTGTGGAGATCGTTGAACTTCGTTGAGAAAGCTAACCGATCTAATTTAGAAAACCATTTCAAACCTGTAAGTATTGAACGGTTGTTACATCTAAGTGTGAGACCCCTTAAGAGTGCATGTCCACGACCCTATAACCAGGAATCAAACACAGAACCTTCAATATTGCATGCAAATGTCTAATCACCAGACCACTGGGCTGGTATCCGGTGGTATACAGTTTAACTGCTGAGGACTCCCATACTTATGGTAGTCTGACTTAAATAGCTTCCCGATAATAATAGCTCTTTGTCTGTTGTCGTCAGTGACTATTGATGTGAGATATGTTAGTAGATGTAGACTAATTGGTTTTGGTCTGCGAGATAAATGCGATCAGTAAATGGAGACATAGTGTGATATAGCTGAGAATTATTCACACTGCCAATGGTGAGTTCACAGTTTATATATTGAATTCTAGTATTCCTTCATACAGATTTTATTACCTCTATCTTTATCAACCCTGTTCTCAATACTCAGTTCTTCTCATTATCATTGCTACTAAACTATTTTGTTTCGCTTTACTATTCATCTCGTTAATCTCAATTCCTTTTACTAGTTTCGTATGGAAACATGGGCCAGAGCACATCTGTCCCAGGCTCAACGTTGATATTGACTGACTGATTGTATGATATCAATCATTTGGTAAGTAAGGTGAATGGTTATAGCATTTGTTCATATCATATGTCAAACATAGCATATAAAGACACAAACCACATATTTTCGAGCTATTTAATGACAAATAGGTTTTCTGTTCATAAATGTTCAACCTTTATCCAATAACATAAAATCTGTTACTAACATTATGTATCTGTGTACACAATGAGAGAAATTAAGTACCACTACCAAGGTCTGACTTGAAAATTTCAAAAATACTAATTACTGTGTGAATCGTTTTTTTGTAATGATGATGATGATGATGTTAATAGAAACCTCTCAATAAACTTTTACCAATCATTAAGAAAGGAGAGTGATTGAATTCTTTCACATATTATTAAACCACACTGTTCTATATAGAAAGAAAGGTCTTACTAGTCATGCAAAATGAATCTGAATAACCACATTTAATTAAAGATGGTTAGAGATTGGCAGTGGAGTTCAAGATGTATCCTACCTGATAATCGTTAGTTGAATGTACTTCATGTTTGCAACTCGACGTGAACTCAGTATCTCGTACACCATTAACACACAAATAAATTTAATTTTCTACACATTAAAATATCACATTCGTTCACATTCACCAGAAAAAACATATCACAAAATTGTTGACATTGAGCATTGACAGTGAACTGTTTTTCGCAATAGACAGAAAGCGTTGTCCTAAATATTCAAATAACTTAAAACAGACACGAAAGAAATTCAGTGTTAGGTTGATGTAGGTTCCGACTTTATTAAACCATTTATTAATCAATGAAATTGTAAAATAACTATCAAATATGGTAAGCAAAGATGGATAAAGGCTAGTAGTGGAATCCAGGACGCGCGTTTCGTCCAATTTCAGACTCGTCAGCTGGATGTATCTGCATCTCAGAGTTGATGTTTCCTCTGAGATTCGAACCTAGTACCTTTCTCTTCAAACGCCATCGCGTCATCCACTCAGCTACTGACTCCCTATATGATGAACATCAACTCTGAGATGCAAATACATCCAGCTGACAGGTCCCAAATAGGACGAAACGCGCGTCAAACTGGATTCCACTGCTAGCCATTATCCATCTTTGCTTACAATGCTTATCAATTAACGCTATATCGAGGCAATACTCAGAGTATGCAAATATGCCAACTAAAGACTAACCAGTTACAGTCCTAAACATCAATGGGAACATTCAAACAAACAATACTTAGTGAATTGACTATCAAATAAATTTCCGATTTGTTATATCAAAACCGAATAAGTTAAAATCTGTGTTACTAGGTAGTGATATTTGATGATGATATTTGACATAATTGGTATATCTCATAAGTTTAATGGGGTAAATTATCTTCATATTTTAAAAAAAATCACTACAAAACTATGAAACGAAAGCTTTTACAGTGATAACCTTATATCAAATTATTCAGTCGATCGATTAGTCTTGATATATATACATGTAAAGGCTTTTGTAAACCGACTACCATTAGTGTGTAGGCTAGTACAATGGAGCAAATAGAAATTTAAAAATTGTAGTTATGGTAACCAGCACAAAATCACATTGTATTGTTAACTATTTCGCTTTTTTTCTCATAGTCTGAACCAGTTGGAATATTTGAGATATGTTTTTTAGTTCGGTCTGATCTATAAAATCGATCGAATTATGGTAAATGAAGTACAAACTATATATGAAAGTTATATCTATATACTGAGTAACATGTTTAGAAATGACTTGCCAATACTTGACAAACAAAATTCAATGTTTGAATAGTTTGATCAGTAATTTCGGGATCAAATTTGTTTTCCAACTAATACAGAAGTACTGAATCTAGGATTTTTAACCTATTGAAGCTATCGGACCATGTAGTGTACATAACCTGTGTAGTATTTCGTAATGCTAATCACTGATTTAACCTATGAAGCTGAAACTAAAATTTAAGATTTCAAACATTCCTTAACAAAGTGTGTCTACATTCATATGGAAATGAATTTCGCTTGAAAGGCTGTTTTTCGTTACATAGTCACTTACACTAGATTATGTTGACCGCGATAAATAGTTTATTGAGTCTCGTTGAAAATATCTTTTTGTGACAGCTATGCTTCTTAAACAGTATTCAATTGGCCTGTTAACTTTATACTGTCTGAATCACTTTAAAAAGTAGGTACATAAAATGTTTCGTTACACCAACAGGACAAACATTTATTCAGTAAAATGTTTGTCAAATCTGTTATGTCCTCTATTTGATTGAAGCTAATACATTATTTAGTTATCTGCATTGAAATGCAAAGAAACCCACAATAGCAAATCAAAAGATCGAAGAAAGCAGGAGAAGCGGTTAGTAATTAATTGTGAAAAACGTAGAGAAAAACAAGGGTAAGTATAGTTTTTATTACAGGCCATAACATCATTATAATCCATTCAGTTCTCAGGTAGGAAGTTATGCAAATGTTCAGCCACATGATGCCACGTTGATATTCTGAAACATTCTGTCAGGTTCTGGTTAGATGAAATCCGTTTGACTTCTTTAGAGCCTCTGAAGGCTTCATCTTGCCTTCTAGGAACCTTCTTAAGAAGATAGCATAATTTTTTATTTGTACTGTTTGTTTTGAATCTTGATGTTTAGGAATGCAATAGATCAGTTTCTGTTGGCTTATGTGCATCCTGTGCGGATTGCCCTAATACTATCATTAAGTCGCAAGTATTATAAGCAGAGATGGAAGATGGCTAGCAGCGTAATCAAGAACGTGCATTCCTCACTGTTTGGATCTCCTTGACTAAATATACCTGCATCCTGGAGTTCAAGTTCAATCTGGGACTCAAACCCAGTACCGTCTGTATCAAACACCATCTCATAGTTCATCTAGTTACTTAGTCAGAAACTATAATGAATAAAGTCATGAAGATACGACAGATTTTTAGAAAGTAGGATATTTTCAAATACGGAAGAAAATAATAATAGTAGTCTATGGCTGTGATAAAGATTATTATAACTCCTATTTCTTTCGCAAACACAGTTCCGGCTTTGTTTCATGGATAGAAAGAACTTCTATTTTAGGGAGTTGGATATCGAGAAATCATGTCAGCCACTCTTGTTGAATTATTATTCTACCTAATATTATCGTAATTTTCCGTTCAATTCGATCTCTTTTTGTAATGCCTACGTATAAAGAGGAAACTAGCATCTTTAGTTTTATGACTGAAACAAAACACCCTTGATCTGCTAAGGTAGCTTTTATCTCTCAGTGGGGTTTTAAATAATACTTTAGGTATTAATTTTTGAGCTGACTTATGCTACTGTGCAGCTTAAGAATGATACTAATGAAGAGATAAGTTACACACTTATTATCCCTCCTCTTTAATTGCTTTAAAATTTTACCAATGATCAACAGACGCTATTGGATAAGGTATTCAAAAAAAAATTCACTGAATGGTTTCTCAACAAATATATACTGTTTCAGTAACACAATAAGGCTTAGTTTATCTGTTCTGTTGAAGGGATGTGTTCGAACGTTATGTAGTATGATAAAATAATTATTTCTTCTGAAAACATGCATCAACCAATGTTAGACCATCTTTGAAAAGCTGGAAGAATTCGTTAACCGTTTTGTGACCTTTTTGAACTCTTCAACAGTGCAAATCTACGATATTGCATTTCATGTTTTTATAATCTCCACAAAAAACGTTTGTTGAAAATTGTCAATGAATCATAGGTTATAAATACATGTTTCAGTGACATTTAATTTAGTCAGTCAATTATGACATATGTTGTGTAACTCATTGCATGAACACTTACCAGCTGCGGATTACAGATTCATTATTTCTGACAATAAAACAACGAGATTTTCATTACAGAGTATACTATAAACAATCTGCCGATAAGATTAGATTAAGTGAAAAAAACAATGAAACTTATGAGATATTTAATCACAGGTATAGATTTCAAATTGTATTCACCATCTTGATCATTTTCAAAATTGTAATTGACTTCCTGTACAGTACAACAGGATATGTTGAAATACCTACATAAATACAATAGTTATTGTAGTGAACAAGAACACAAGTCGGGACAATCGAATGTATTTGAGCACGAAATTACAGAACATCTCACTAAAATCTGACAATCGTATAGTAAACAGTTAATTTGCATACTATCTATTAATTCACTCAGTATTGTTTGTTTGAATGTTCCCATTGATGTTTAGGACTGCGACTGGTAAGTCTCTTATTGGTATATGTGCATACTGTACGTATTGTCACGACATAGCGTTAATTGACAAGCATTGTAAGCAAAGATGGATAGTGGCTAGCAGTGGAATCCAGTTTGACGCGCGTTTCGTCCTATTTGGGACCCGTCAGCTGGATGTATTTGCATCTCAGAGTTGATGTTCACTCCGGGACTCGAACTCAGTAACTTCCGCTTCAAACGCCATCGCTCAGCTACTGAGTCCTGATAATCACTTGCCAACCACTATCCATCTTTACTTACAATGCTTGTGAATTAAGGCTACATCGAGGCAATGCGCACAGTATGCCCATATACCAATTAGAGACTGACCAGCTGCAATCCTAAACGTCAATGGGAAGATTCAAACAAACAATACCAAGTGAATTTAAACTTCACCCCATTACACAATCAAGTGGCTATCACGACTCAGTAGCTAGGTGGATAACGCGATGTCGTTTGAAGCGAACGCTACTGGGTTCGAGTCTCAGAGGGAACATAAACTTTGAGATGCGGGTACATCCAGCTGATGAGTCTCAAATAGGATGAAACGCGCGTCCTGAATTACAGTGCTAGCCACTATACATCTTTGCTTACAATATCAATTAATTGTCTCAATCTTGACTGTACCTTCTGTAAACATCAGTCCATCATCTCCAATTTTCTTTTCATGCATTATCACACCAACTGCATTCCGTTTCCCTTCCCGTTCTTTCTCTATCGATCTTCTACTAAAATACATTCAATGCCTGACCATCATTATATATTACTTATATGGAAATATGTAACCCACACCACAGTTATACCTAACCTCAAATACATTATTATATTTTCTATTCACATCATTTTCCAATAAACATCATTTCATAAATGATCATTATCACAATAAAATATAATACCGATCAAATGAGATCAAAACCCAAAAAGAAAAACATTTCATTATAATCAGAAGGGGTTTTGTGGAGATTTCAGTATATTCATAGTTGAAATCATGAGTCAATTGAAGCTCTGGCGCGAGACTGGTAGGTCGTGGATTTGAATCTCACTCGCGAGGTTGGATCGTGGATGTGCACTGTTGAGGAGTCCCATAATAGGACGAAACGGTCGTCCTGTGCTTCCAGGTTTTCCATAGTGGTCTAACTTCAATTGACTCATGATTTCAACAATGAAAACATTTCATTATATTTAAAAAATATAGTTTCTAAGATCTTTCATTATATAAACTGTCATAATATATTGATTAGTTACGTATTATCATAAACATTCATTTAATAGGTGTTTATCAAAATGACACATAAGAGACTATGAAATTATACATGATTTGTTCACAGGATTCAATCATATGTTCACCATTTTCAACCTATCATAATCATAGTAACCACAGCATAGAAACTTGTCTGATTGAGAACAAATAAATATACTGGTAAATATAATCGTGTTTTCAGTAAAGTTCAAATCATTACTCAATCTTTAAAAGCAGTTAGCAACTAAATTATCCTTCAATAGTTTACCCTTTATCATTATTATTAAAAAAAGTTATTCACATATCCAAGATAAAGAGATTTCATAAACATTCCAATATTATTCACTGATAAATTTCAACTGACTTTATAATTACATGATAAGAAATGTCCATGTATAAAAGTAATAATTCTGTGGTCAAAAATGCTGATATGTCGAATGAAATGCAAAAACTTGCTCTTTCTATTGGATATGATTCAGTTCGAAAATATGAATTAGAAAAAGATATAGCTGATCATTTAAAAAAAGAGTTTGATCAAAAATATGGTCCAACATGGCATTGTATAGTGGGTAGGAATTTTGGCAGGTAAGTCTTTAGTTTTTATTGTTTTTATTGAAACAGATATATTTTGATTGACTTCTAATCATTAAACTGATCTTATCTAGGCCACTGTTAAAAGCTAGGAAGTACTGGACAGCAGTTTCGTCCTACTATGAAATTCTTCAGTAGTGTATAATCACGGTTACTCTACAGTAAATCAAATTCAGGATCTTTGGTGTCACGCATGAACGCTTGTTTTTTTAGATGAATGATGTCTAAATTTAATTCATTCGTGATCATCAACATCAGTGCACGATCATCTTCCATCGTATATTGTAGATACTTAACCAGAGAAGTTCAACCACTTCGATTATGAAACAGTTATCCACCACGGGCAATGGAAGATGGTCTCATAATATTGTGAATTAATTGGAATTACAATTGTACACCATCGGTTGCACAAAGATTTTGGTTTTTGAACATGAAACTTAAGGTCCTGTGTTTGATTCACTATTATGAGGTAGTGGAGACGCACGGCTGAATCTCATGCTTGAACAAAATAGCTGTCTAAAGCTTTTCGGTTTTCGATAATGGTCTAACCAATATCTGTTCACGGTCTAAAGTTTAAGAAACCTCTAAAACTCCATGAAACCCCATACTGATAATATAAAAATTTAATGAAGTATTGGGTAAATTCAGTTATTATTGAAATGAAGAAGATGATTTGTAGCTCATGTGGATGACATTTTGACATTGTGTAAACTGAGCTGTAAGGTTAAGATAAAAAGTATGACAATCAAAATAATTATACATACAAAGACATGATATTGTTTAACTACAACCATTTGACACTAAAGTTGACAGAATATGCTGATAGTCATATGCAGAGATATTTGATTCCCTCACTTTTTATGAGGTATTTGTTGATTATATTGTCTAGTAGGACAATAAACCACCCAGCTTAAGGAATGCAACTTCACCTGAAACTTATCGTGGTCACAGACGTTATTTAAAGTTAGAATAGATCATAGTTTCTTTATTTGATCGAAAACCCCAAATTATTAGAAATAAGCAAGTTCAATAAGATTATATCAGCTCACAACCTTAGATGTTAATGTGTATATTAACTACAAGTAATCATAGATAATTGTTTCCTTGGAACTGCTACTAATACTGGTACTACTACTACTACGACTATTGCGATTACTAGAGTAACATGAAACGAAATATTATTACACAGAAGAGATACATGAGTTTCACCTAATTCTGCTCGGATGTGAACTCAATGCTCCTAAAATCTTATTACTTTTTTTACAATATAAAGAGTCCTTGATTAGCATTTAAAGCATGACGAGATTTCAGTACGATTGCAGGAAGCTTACTGAATGTTTGCATATTCAAAAAATTTGGTAAGTGGGTTAATGGGATTGGGAATCTTTATTGACTCAGCTGGCTGAGACATGTGTTACGTACAAGCAATCACCACCTACATCGACGTTTAATGCAGGTTAGAGTAGAATTACGTTGTAGAAAAGCTTAGTGAGACCAAACTATGACATGACATATATCTACATAATTGCCAGTTGTTTGTCTGAGTTGTATATGTTGAATCCACACTATTTGAATGGATTCCACCGAATAAACGTAACCAGTGTCTGGAGACGTTTGGCGACATAGTAAAGAGTCACTCACAGTGTTCAGATAGATTTATTCTTTATCTCACTTCATATGTTAATAGATGTGTTATATCCCCTGGTGAATTATGAATGGTAACTCTAAGGACTATTTATCGACCAATGTATTATGCCTATTTCCTATTGTGCAATTGTTACGTAACTGGACTATTCATATTCGTGTTTCCCTTATCATTAGCTTTATTTTGACCTTGACTTATTATCATACGATTCTTGAGTTATAATCAGTTTATTGATTACTTTGGTTTGTATAAAACCTCAGTGTGTTTGTAAATAATGATTCATATTGCCGAGGCTGTTATTTGTGTTCTGGACTTAACTGGCTGGGCTAGGCAGATAGGAAGGACCGAACAGCACTCAATACTGCTCGTACGATTTCAAGCATCATTCGCGTCCGATCAATAAATCCACTCCTCTCTAAGTGCACGTCCATATATACATACGAAGCCATACGATATAACAACTGGCGACGGGGTAAAAAATTGGCTCTAACTTCCGATCAATTTCAATTGCTAATCCAACGACAAGAGCAGCGCTTTAGAAAGAGTCAATTGGAATTCATTGACAAGTTACATGAAAGCTGCTGAATCACCCATGCTTTGGGGGTGCAACGGAAGTTGACGCATTATTTTCAAAATTGCGTACAGAGATGGAAAACGATTGCAGAACGAATGAATATACCGGGGAAAGCCCCTATGAATCCGTGAAAAGCAGTAATTTAAGCGAAACATTAGTCACATATGATCAGCCCAGTAGTCCAGTATTGTCTGTTTCAGAGGCATGCCCTATACGTGGCACAAATCCTACTATCCTTGAAACAGAACGTGCGAACAATGAATCGTCCAGTTCACAGAAAGACAATATCTTATTAAGTGCCCATAAAATTGCTGCAGTACCCGCCCACGAAGAAACGGGGAACAAACCAAACAGTATGGTGAATACAGTGGTGCCAAATCAAACCAGTCATGATGCAAAAAATTTTTCTAATGAATCTAATGATCAAGATTATCTAATTGTTCTGCCAGATCCCGATTATTTTGCTGATTCATATGTTCCTGTTCAAATCTCTTATAAAAATGGGAGAAAAATATCGGATGCATTAAATGATAATCAAGAATCCAATACAACTTTCATAGACACTGATTATGATTCATAATCTGCCAGTGAGGTTCCAAGAAAATTCAAGCAAACTGTTTCACAAGAATCAAACTCTGGTGACCTCAAATCAATTGTCGTCGATCCTCATGATCCAGTCAGTTCTAATGGTTTCTCTGTTAAATATGACAAACATGTTCTATATAATGTCACATTAATAGTAACTTGGCTATAAGAGGATCCAACAGTCTTTCGTGGGGGAGGAGGAATTCAAGAAATTAAAAATCCGGATGTCAACTCCGGATTTCTCAAAAAGGGGAGGTGTTATATCCCCTGGTGAATTATGAATGGTAACTCTAAGGACTATTTATCGACCAATGTATTATGCCTATTTCCTATTGTGCAATTGTTACGTAACTGGACTATTCATATTCGTGTTTCCCTTATCATTAGCTTTATTTTGACCTTGACTTATTATCATACGATTCTTGAGTTATAATCAGTTTATTGATTACTTTGGTTTGTATAAAACCTCAGTGTGTTTGTAAATAATGATTTACAAACGTTCGACATTGATAAAGATATTGTTAGTTCTTACGGATAATGTTGTCTGAAGGGCTTCAGTTGAGAATCATTGTCATACTACCGAATCATCCAAATGAGGCAATTCCTTTCCTTTACAGCTTAGAAGTTTCAAGTTTATTTAACTACCCATATTTAAATACACTTTCTTCAGCGAAATATATGTGAGATATATGGAAACAAAAACTATCAGATTCTATCGTCTTCAGAGTCTTTTTAAGTCAATTGTACATATCAACAAATTTTATCTATTTGGATCCTTATAAAAGATGCTAGTGGTACATCGCTTATAGTGGTTCAAATAAGAATAATGACTCTTGCTGTAGCCAAGAATAAGGATTTAAATTTCTTAAGTTCCTCTAAGGAACAATGTGGATTACAATTGTCAGAAGAAATTATCATCTTAAGTATAGATTGGGCAAAGTCAATTAAAACTATAACACTGACTGCAAATTAATAACATTGGTCCTGTAAAGTGGTTATGTGGCTATACTGTAGTGAGTAAGAACTCTAGTGAAGAAAACCAATCTATTGTAACAACTATAATTACACAATGTCTTTAAAAAAAATGAAAATCACACAATAAATACATTATTTACAGATCTTCCTTTAGTTGATCTTTATGTACTCCATGATTCTTTCAATTCTGTTGTTATTCTAATTGTTCTCTGTTTCTTTTCCTCTTTTCTTTAATTCAATATTCTTCTGGCAAACATTTTACTTTTGATTTCTGCTACACAATACTTAAATCTGTCAGCATATGTGACGAACACCACAGTATTATTAAACTGGAAGTTTTATTTTCTAGATTAGACTTGAAGCAATAAAACAGTCCGTTCAAAATAATGCTCTTACATATCAGATGTTTACGTACTGAAAACGTAATTTTAAAGCAGAAATACAACTACATGCCATTTCGTAATTGTTGCTATCTAGTAGAGCATTTTGTTTCATCTCAATTGTGTATTTGTTACAAATCATGTTCTAAATTCAAAAATGGTTATTTGATACTGTTTAAACAAAGTAAAGAGAAGTATTAACAGTACTAACCCATCTCGTCATTCATGAAACTACGGTTTTTTGTATTGAGAATCACATCACTATACTTCATAAAACGGTTTTCATAATCTGAATACCATATAAATACTTATCATAAAACCTGATGTAACGATTCGTTTACAATGGTGTTAATGTCTAACTTCAACTAATCCATGAAATTGAGCGACACATCTACCATTGTCTTCAATGGGTTACTATCTCACTTCAATTGACTCATTATCTCAACTATTGAAATTACTATAATATTCAAAAAAAACCCTTCTGATATTAATCAACATATGCTCACTAGTGACTGGCTTCAACGGGTATTTCCTGGAGTTCTAGTGAGGAGCACTCATCAATGGAGTTCAACCGGGTCTGTTGTGAGATAGTAACTCCGTGAAAAAAATGGTGGATATGTCGCTCAATTTCATGAATCGGTTGAAGTTTGATATAACAACCTTGGATGCCGGCTCTATGGTTTAGAGGTTAAGCGCTCACGCAAGAGACTGATAGGTCTTGGGTTCGATTCTCATGGTGTGTTGTCGAGGATGAGCACTTCCGAGGAGTCCCACAATAGGACGAAACGGCCGTCCAGTGCTTCCAGATTTTATTTATTCATTTTGTAATAAAATAAATATTATGTAATGTTCATGATCATTTCATTTTGGTTATGAAATTATGAAAAACCTTATTGACTAATGAACAGCCATTGTTTGACTCTTATTCTTTGACCTAATCAATATCGACAAAACTGTTGATTATGTTTTAGTAGTTTCAAATCTTATAACTAACAATCACCTTCAATTGTTAAGTTAATATAACGGCAGTTAGCAAAGTTGACAAAAAAAAACAATTGAAAATTGACATTTATTTGTGTTTTGAATATGGAACCACATTTTTTAGGTAACTTTAAATCGATACTTAGTTTTTCCACTCTATCATTAGGATTCTGGTTAGCGATTTTTTAGTGAGTTAGTTTTTTATGAGATGGACTCACTAACCCCATGCCCTACTCCCCTCCTTTACCCGGGCTTCGGACGGGCAGTAGCCTTCCGGGTCGGAGAATGCTGGTCGACGGCCTATGCTCCATTAAGAGTAACAGGTGTAAGTAAGTAAGTATCATTAAGATTAATAGTTTAGATGGTTCTTGAAAAAAAATATTATCAATAGTACATAGTACATAGTACATAAATAGAAAACAACTAACCCTTTTTTTTCTAGGACATAGTAATAATATCGCAAGTTCATATTTAATATATTGCTGAATTTGTCGAATAGATGTATAAAATTCAAACACAGATAGCATTAAATCTAACTCAATCAATAATAAGTTTGTAGGTATCTATACCAAGTTATTAGTTACTCTGAAGAAGCGACTTATATTAAGTCACGAAACATCAGAAATACAACTTTCCACTCATTAGAATATCACAAATAGTATATTTCTTATTATTAAATCTTACCTTTTTGCATTTTAATGAAATTATATTGTTTTAATTTGATTGTATTCATTATATATTTATTTCAGTTCTATAACCCATGAACCGGATAGTTTCATTTATTTTTACGTGGAAAAGTATGCTGTACTACTATATAAATCAGGATAGAATTTCATTTTGTTTAACTTACTTATCAATCTAATAACAATAATCCATGTGAATGTACTACAATGTAACGTATGTGAAGGAGTGATGTTTACTTATAACTTGTAGTCATGTGTTGTGTTAAAATGTTTTATTGCTATTCTTATTATTATTGTTATTCAATACAATGAAACTGTTAATATAATAGTTATACTGTCACTGTTCTTTTTATATTTCATCACTTTTGCAAAACCTGTACTTTTCTACCGAGAAGAACATAACTCATACAAAAAGAGTCTACTGAAAGATTATATTTATATATGTATATATGTTTAAGAGAAGACGACCAGTGTAGCAGTAGCCTCAGTAGCAGTAGGTCTTAATATAAACGAAGGAAAAGCAAAACTCTCCGATACAATACAGCATTAAATGAATTACACTTGACGGAGAAACTTTGGAGGATAAGAAAGATCTTACATATCTGGGCAGCATCTTCTATGAACACGGTGGATGTGATGCAGATGTGAAGACGCGGATCGGCAAAATAAGAGCAGCATATTTACAACTGAAGAACATCTGGAACTCCAAACAATTGTCAACCAACACCAAGATCAGAATTTTCAATACAAATGTCAAGACAATTTTACTGTTTGAGGCGGAAACTTGAACAAATATGAAAGTCATCATCCAGAAGATACAATGTTTATTAACAGTTGTCTACGCAAAATACTTCGGATCCGTTTGTCAGACACTATCAGTAACAACCTACTGTGAGAGAGAACAAACCAGATTCCAATGGGGGAAGAAATGAGGAAGAAGCGCTGGAGGTGGATAGAATACACACTGAGGAAAGCACCGAACTGCATCACAAGACAAACTCTTACATGGAATCCTGAATGCCAAAAGAGAAGATGAAGACCAAATAACACATTATGCCGAGAAATGGATACAGACATGGGAAAAATGAACAAAAGTTGGATAGAACTAGAAAGGAAGGCGCATGACAGAGTGAGTGGGTTGAAGAATGCTGTTTCGGCGGCCTATGCTCCATTGGGGTTAACAGGTGAAAGTAAATAAGTAATTATGTAAATATGTTTACGAATGGGTGATGTAGGGGAGTGTACTATTTATGTTACACGGTACTTGTAATAGTCTACAACTAGATGGAAAAAAACAATGTTTTAGCAAGTATTTACTACATCGATTATACTGTATTTTGTGATCAGTAGACGAAACATATGTCTTAACTTTGATGATTTTTTATAACTATCTAACAGAATTCAGTTTGCTGGAACGAAGTTATCTTCTGGCTGAGAAATGTCTTATTACGATTGATTGTTCAAGGAATGATTTAGATTGCTTCCATATACCTCTGATATGAACAACAATTTAGTTATTTGATAGGGAATATTTGTTGCTAATGATTGGGATTTTGAAAATCTTTTCTTTTATGAACTTAGTGGTTTCATCTACTTTATAGAAAGCATCATTAATACATAATTCAAAAAGCAGTGAGTTGTTAGGATCTCTCTTCAGTTCTGATGACGAGGGATTTGATTGATTGTTATTCACGATAATGTAGTCATTATTCACGTGCTTACTTTATTTATTTTACCTCCAGACTTCATCTTTGATCTTGAAATTCTTCGATGTTGATTGGTTCTTATTGACCTTAAATCTGTCATTGTTTATTTCTTTGTTTTGTTTGTATCTCCCATTGGTTTGATTTTTGTGCACAGAACAAGCTGTGAATCACATGTGGAGAAATTTAAACACTTCACTTCTACCCAAAGTTTGTGTTGATGATATCGTTCAGAAGGACGATGAAAGCTCCACGACCAAATCATCCAGCTCAGAGAACAAAACTCCATCAAAATCACCTACCTGAGCTACAAATCTTCTCCATCACCTCTTCATACTTTTCTCTTATCGACTGATTGCCATGTGACTTGTTTAAGTTATAACTGCACAGCCAATTTCTTGAAACAAAGAACAGTTCAGTCTATCATAACTCTGCTCATGCATCTCATAAAACCTATCAAATGTACTAAATAGCTGATAATTTCTCCAGGTCCCGATATCTATCATCTATCAATGTTAATTGAAAACTTTCAAAAGCCTTATTTAAGCAATGTATATACATAATCAAAACATGATGATATTACTCAGGGAACCAGTTTTGCAAATGTAAAAAAGATGCCAGAACATGTGATTAGATTATTGAGTAATGAGTCTAGTTTTTTTTCAGATTTGGAAAAGAAACACTTTCCAACTACATAGTGACAAGCGTACATACACCAATCTAAAAAAAAACAACGACATTTTTATTATGGAATGTAGAGTGATCGATAATCAATAGAAAAGAAAGGGGTATAATCAACATAGCTCTTTTGTTTGTTTGTTTACACATTTGATCAGAACAAAAATGTAAATGTTTTATAGAATAAAAACACAATAAGAATCATACGTGTAGTACTATTGACTTGTATGATGCTAAAATTATAATATTGAAATCACTTAAATGTGATCAACTTAATGTAGTGAGTCATTGTATTATTGAAACGATTGATTAAGTAGAAGAACAAACAAAGTCTATCAATAGAAACCATCCTAAACTGATATAAAATGCTGCAAAATATTTTTAAAGTACTTAAACTGATTGTGTTAAATAGTTTATTAATGAACATTAAAAAACAAACAAACTAGATTGGAGTTAGACATTAACACCGTTGGATACCAACCGACTCAGTGGTCTAGTGGTTAGGCGTTCACGTGCGAGTCTGATAGGTCCTGGGTTTGAATCTCTCAAAGCGGGACCGTAGATGCGCACTTCCGAGGAGTCCTACACTGGGACGAAACGGTCTCATGATGAAAGCCCAAATTCTTCGGAAGTCACGAGACCGATGCAACTTCTAACAACCAGAGCAACACTCTTTATAGGTACATGGAACGTCCGGACATTGTGGGAAACAGGAAAGACCAGCCAAATAGCAATGGAAATGAGGAGATACAACTTGGCAGTACTCGGAATCAGCGAAACCCATTGGACACAAACTGGACAACAAAGGCTAGGTACAGGAGAGATGCTGCTGTACTCCGGTCACGAAGGGGAAAATGCTCCACACACTCAGGGAGTTGCTCTAATGCTGTCCAGAGAAGCACGAAATACACTTGTGGGATGGGAATCTCATGGATCCAGGATAATCAAAGCATCATTCAGAACAAAGAAGCAAGGGATCACAATGAACGTTATCCAATGTTATGCACCCACCAATGATAGCAACGACGATGATAAAGATCAGTTCTATGAAAGGCTGCAATCAATTATAGCAAAGTGCTCACGAAAGGACCTCACCATCCTTATGGGAGATCTAAATGCTAAAGTTGGAGTGGACAACACAGGATATGAAGATGTAATTGGACGACATGGATTAGGCGAGAGAAATGAAAATGGGGAGAGACTTGCAAACCTATGTGCATTCAACAAATTGGTTATAGGCGGCACAATATTCCCACACAAACGCATACACAAGGCTACATGGACCACAACACAGAGAACCAGATAGATCACATCTGTATCAACAAAAAATTCCGAAGATCAATGGAAGATGTGAGAACCCGGAGAGGAGCTGACATAGCTTCAGATCACCACTGGCTGGTTGTGGCCAAGATGAGACTGAAGCTAAAGAAAGACTGGACAACTGGACAAACAGCACTACAAAGGTTTAATACAGCCTTCCTTCGAGATACTGACAAGCTCCAT